CGCTACATTATGGCCAAGCATGCGCGCTTAAAATAGCATTATGAACAACGCGCAACGCGCCACTGACTTTAGACTAGTTTTTTTCTGGTCAGTGGCGCAATTGTTTTATAGAACAGCAAAATAGCATGAGGGAAAGTTTGCGCCGGAACACGCCTCCTCTTTGCGCTGAACCGCCCTGGGGAGCGCAAGTGTATTTCTTAGTTAACCGACGTGTGTCTGTGGAGGAAAAAGCCCGCTTTGCGCGGGTGCAAAATAGGAATGATACATGCGTCAGTGTACAAAGTCATTTGCGCCGAGTGCAAGATAGAGCCCTTACACTGTTACGCTCTTACACTGTTACGCTCCTACACTGTTACGCTCTTACACTGTTACGCTCTTACACTGTTACGCTCCTACACTGTTACGCTCTTACACTGTTACGCTCTTACACGATTACGCTCTTACACTGTTACGCTCCTACACTGTTACACTCCTACACTGTTACGCTCCTACACTGTTACGCTCTTACACTGTTACGCTCCTACACTGTTACGCTCTTACACTGTTACGCTCTTACACTGTTACGCTCTTACACTGTTACGCTCTTACACGATTACGCTCTTACACGGTTACGCTCTTACACTGTTACGCTCCTACACTGTTACGCTCTTACACGATTACGCTCTTACACTGTTACGCTCTTACACTGTTACGCTCTTACACGATTACGCTCTTACACGATTACGCTCTTACACGGTTACGCTCTTACACTGTTACGCTCTTACACTGTTACGCTCCTACACTGTTACGCTCTTACACTGTTACGCTCTTACACTGTTACGCTCTTACACTGTTACGCTCTTACACGATTACGCTCTTACACGGTTACGCTCTTACACTGTTACGCTCCTACACTGTTACGCTCTTACACGATTACGCTCTTACACTGTTACGCTCCTACACTGTTACGCTCTTACACGATTACGCTCTTACACTGTTACGCTCTTACACTGTTACGCTCTTACACGATTACGCTCTTACACGATTACGCTCTTACACTGTTACGCTCCTACACTGTTACGCTCTTACACGATTACGCTCTTACACAGTTACGCTCCTACACTGTTACGCTCTTACACGATTACGCTCTTACACGGTTACGCTCTTACACGGTTACGCTCTTACACTGTTACGCTCCTACACTGTTACACTCCTACACTGTTACGCTCCTACACTGTTACGCTCTTACACGATTACGCTCTTACACGATTACGCTCTTACACTGTTACGCTCCTACACTGTTACACTCCTACACTGTTACGCTCCTACACTGTTACGCTCTTACACTGTTACGCTCCTACACTGTTACGCTCTTACACGATTACGCTCTTACACTGTTACGCTCTTACACTGTTACACTCCTACACTGTTACGCTCCTACACTGTTACGCTCTTACACTGTTACGCTCCTACACTGTTACGCTCTTACACTGTTACGCTCTTACACGATTACGCTCTTACACGATTACGCTCTTACACTGTTACGCTCTTACACTGTTACGCTCTTACACTGTTACACTCCTACACTGTTACGCTCTTACACTGTTACGCTCTTACACGGTTACGCTCTTACACGGTTACGCTCTTACACTTTTACGCTCTTACACTGTTACGCTCCTACACTGTTACGCTCTTACACTGTTACGCTCCTGCACTGTTACGCTCTTACACGATTACGCTCTTACACGGTTACGCTCTTACACTGTTACGCTCCTACACTGTTACGCTCTTACACGATTACGCTCCTACACTGTTACGCTCTTACACTGTTACGCTCTTACACTTTTACGCTCTTACACTGTTACGCTCTTACACTGTTACGCTCTTACACTGTTACGCTCTTACACTGTTACGCTCTTACACTGTTACGCTCTTACACTGTTACGCTCTTACACTGTTACGCTCTTACACGATTACGCTCCTACACTGTTACGCTCTTACACTGTTACGCTCTTACACTGTTACGCTCTTACACTGTTACGCTCTTACACTGTTACGCTCTTACACTGTTACGCTCTTACACTGTTACGCTCCTACACTGTTACGCTCTTACACTGTTACGCTCTTACACTGTTACGCTCTTACACTGTTACGCTCTTACACTGTTACGCTCTTAAACTGTTACGCTCTTACACTGTTACGCTCCTACACTGTTACGCTCTTACACTGTTACGCTCTTACACTGTTACGCTCTTACACTGTTACGCTCTTACACTGTTACGCTCTTACACTGTTACGCTCTTACACTGTTACGCTCTTACACTGTTACGCTCCTACACTGTTACGCTCTTACACTGTTACGCTCTTACACTGTTACGCTCTTACACTGTTACGCTCTTACACGATTACGCTCTTACACGGTTACGCTCTTACACTGTTACGCTCCTACACTGTTACGCTCTTACACGATTACGCTCTTACACAGTTACGCTCCTACACTGTTACGCTCTTACACGATTACGCTCTTACACGGTTACGCTCTTACACGGTTACGCTCCTACACTGTTACGCTCTTACACTTTTACACTCTTACACTTTTACGCTCTTACACTGTTACGCTCCTACACTGTTACGCTCTTACACTGTTACGCTCTTACACTGTTACGCTCTTACACTGTTACGCTCTTACACTTTTACGCTCTTACACTGTTACGCTCTTACACTGTTACGCTCTTACACTGTTACGCTCTTACACTGTTACGCTCTTACACTGTTACGCTCTTACACGATTACGCTCTTACACGGTTACGCTCTTACACTGTTACGCTCCTACACTGTTACGCTCTTACACTGTTACGCTCTTACACGATTACGCTCTTACACTGTTACGCTCTTACACTGTTACACTCTTACACGGTTACGCTCTTACACTGTTACGCTCCTACACTGTTACGCTCCTACACTGTTACGCTCTTACACGATTACGCTCTTACACGGTTACGCTCTTACACTGTTACGCTCCTACACTGTTACGCTCTTACACTGTTACGCTCCTACACTTTTACGCTCTTACACTGTTACGCTCCTACACTGTTACACTCTTACACTGTTACGCTCTTACACTGTTACGCTCTTACACTGTTACGCTCTTACACTGTTACACTCCTACACTGTTACGCTCTTACACTGTTACGCTCCTACACTGTTACGCTCCTACACTGTTACGCTCCTACACTGTTACGCTCCTACACTGTTACGCTCCTACACTGTTACGCTCTTACACTGTTACGCTCCTACACTGTTACGCTCTTACACTGTTACGCTCCTACACTGTTACGCTCCTACACTGTTACGCTCTTACACTGTTACGCTCTTACACGGTTACGCTCCTACACTGTTACGCTCTTACACTGTTACGCTCCTACACTGTTACGCTCTTACACTGTTACGCTCCTACACTGTTACGCTCCTACACTGTTACGCTCTTACACTGTTACGCTCTTACACGGTTACGCTCTTACACTGTTACGCTCTTACACTGTTACGCTCTTACACTGTTACGCTCTTACACTTTTACGCTCTTACACTGTTACGCTCTTACACTGTTACGCTCTTACACTGTTACGCTCCTACACTGTTACGCTCCTACACTGTTACGCTCCTACACTGTTACGCTCCTACACTGTTACGCTCTTACACTGTTACGCTCTTACACTGTTACGCTCCTACACTGTTACGCTCTTACACTGTTACGCTCTTACACTGTTACGCTCTTACACTGTTACGCTCCTACACTGTTACGCTCCTACACTGTTACGCTCTTACACTGTTACGCTCTTACACGGTTACGCTCTTACACTGTTACGCTCTTACACTGTTACGCTCTTACACTGTTACGCTCTTACACTTTTACGCTCTTACACTGTTACGCTCTTACACTGTTACGCTCTTACACTGTTACGCTCCTACACTGTTACGCTCCTACACTGTTACGCTCCTACACTGTTACGCTCTTACACTGTTACGCTCTTACACTGTTACGCTCCTACACTGTTACGCTCTTACACTGTTACGCTCTTACACTGTACGCTCTTACACTGTTACGCTCTTACACTGTTACACTGTTACGCTCTTACACTGTTACGCTCTTACACTGTTACGCTCTTACACTGTGACGCTCCTACACTGTTACGCTCCTACACTGTTACGCTCTTACACGATTACGCTCTTACACGGTTACGCTCTTACACTGTTACGCTCCTACACTGTTACACACCTACACTGTTACGCTCTTACACGGTTACGCTCTTACACTGTTACACTCTTACACTGTTACGCTCTTACACTGTCACGCTCTTACACTGTGACGCTCCTACACTGTTACGCTCCTACACTGCCGCTCAAGTCTGGAATCATTACGATATTTTATTGTTTCTGAAGGGAGATGCTCACCAGCTACATGATCAAAAATACAGCAAAAATAATGAAATATTATTACAATGTAAAACAGCTGTTTTCTATGTAAATATATAGCTAGTAAACTGTAATTTATTTCTGTGATCAAAGCTGAATTTTCAGCATCATTACTCCAGTCTTCAGTGTCACATGATTCTTTAGAAATCATTCTAATATGATGATTTGATGCTCAAGAAACGGGTCTGATTATTATCAATGTTAAAAATCATGAGACATTTTATTCTTGACTCTGGAAGATGTTACAAACAAGTGTGTGTTGTGTGTGTGTGTGTGTGTGTGTGTGTGTGTGTGTGTGTGTGTGTGTGTGTGTGTGTGTGTGTGTGTGTGTGTTTCCAAGAATAAAAGTGATGAATGCTTTTGGCATAGAAAATTAGAGCAAAATTCCATCACCAAAACCAGAGGGCTCTTATTTTTGCCTTGTATTTTTTCTTTTTTTGCAGGTCTTTGCTCTTTTATTTATTTATGTTTCGGGCTCTCTCGTGCGCATGCGCAGATGCTGCAGTCAGTCACATCATTAGAAATGTGTGTTTGCAGAGATTCGTTACCAGAACTCGATTTCCAGCCGCTACTATGAGCTGAGATCCATCGGGTCTGAAGGCGAGATCATAAATACTGAAAGACAGACAGACAAACAAGTTAACTTAATAACAAAACGATCATGAGATGAAGATCAGATCAGCGAATGTGAAAAGCTCAGATTCCCATTGCAGATTAAATCGAAAGAGAAATATAATAATGCCCCAAATGATGTATGAGTAAAACTGCGATGTTATCGTCTGAAAAAACAGGCAGAAATCACATATAACTCTCTCAAATGTGGCCATAGGTGCTTATATTGTTTACATAGCAACGGTTGCTAGCCGCATCCATACAGTTCTGCAGTTGGTGTTTAGAAAAGCAGTGAAGCGCTCACCATTGTTCAACCTTATCCCGGTCGTGTACTTTATCTATCCATGTGGGAACAGCTCTCATTTCGGAAAAATGTCGGACTTTAGCATGAATTCAAAAGGAAGATGAGAATGAGATGCTGAGAGAGATGAAAACTGAAGCTGAAAACAACAACATGGAGGAAAGATGAAGGATTTCAAAATAAAAGTCCTGTTGTTTTAAAGAGGTTTTTTTTTTACCTTTTTTTGTCGTGACGTGAGTGTCTTTCTGTTCATGTGTGTGTATGTGGGCGTGGTTTTCACTAGTGCCAATGAGCAAATGCCTAACAATACCCTATCAACCACATAGCAACATGCTAAACAACAATCAGAACACCTTAACAACTGCATAGCAACGCTCTCACAACTACACAACTGTCGCAGTGGGTTCAAAATAAAAGTCCTGCTTTCAGAACACACATGAATCTAGTATTACATGTTCTATATTGTTTTTAAAATGGATCGTATATTCAGAAACCCATGCTTTAACATTTGTTCATCAGTATAATATCTTTTTTTTTTTTTTTTTTTGTTAAACATCAATTACATTTGTAAAAGGTCCCTGTAGGCCTACCCCATATGTTGCACTCCAATATAATATTTATAAACATTTACTGTTTGCACTTCTGGTTAGATGCTAACTGGGTTTCATTGGCTCTGTACTTGTAGTCTGCACAATGACAATAAAGTTTAATCTAAATCCAATTTTTTACCCTTAAATGGGGTTCAGAGTTTTTTTGTATTTCCTAGTTCTGGGAACAGACACAGTCTACTTACATATAATATGTGCTTTTTGCCAGTTGTTCTGCAGTACTTTATTGTGGTTGTTTAGTGATAAGAAGCATGTTAATCTGTAAAGGAACAGGGTGAAAGTCCACTTATTCTGTTGTGTGCTCAGACTAGAGCTCATTCTCATCAGATTCATGTTATTTCTTCTTCTGGAGACTCAGTCCATCACATCTCACCCTAAATCTGCACTCTTACTGTCCCTGCTTCAGTCCATCACATCACATTATATACACAATATATTTTTAAATATATACATAAACCTTAATTTATTGTTGATATATATTCAAAGTATACTTTTGTTAATATTTCAATTTATCTTATTCATATATATATATATATGCAGGTCACTATGAATACCTCGTTATGCCGTATGGACTGTCCAATTCTCCATCCGTCTTCCAGGCCTTCATGAATGAAGTGTTCCGTGAGTTTCTGCAACAATTCGTAATCGTTTATATTGATGGCATCTTAATTTACTCCAAGAACGTAGCCGAACATCGTGACCACGTCCGGCAAGTCCTACAAAAACTCCATCTCCAAAGACCATCAGCCATTCCTAAAGTTGGAAAAGTGTGAGTTCCACCACCCCACGGTTCACTTTCTCGGCTACGTCATTAGCCCTCAAGGGATTCAAATGGACCAGAGGAAGGTGGATACCATCAGAAACTGGTCACAACCCACCAAAGTTAAAGAACTTCAGCGATTCTTAGGATTTGCAAACTTCTACCGCCGTTTCATCCATCAATACAGCCTTATCAGTTCACCACTCACCTCTCTCCTCAAAGACCGGCCCAAGTCTCTGTCCTGGAATCCTACGGCTACTCAAGCATTCCAACAGTTGAAGAAAGCCTTCTGTTCAGCTCCCATCCTGGTCCATCCCAATCCGGAGCTCCCCTTCATGGTCGAAGTGGACGCCTCATCGACCGGGGTAGGAGCCATTCTTTCACAGCAGCAGGGGAAACCACCAGTACTCCATCCATGTGCCTTCTATTCAAAGAAACTGTCCCCGGCGGAGCAAAATTACGACATCGGTAATCGTGAACTGTTGGCTATCAAGATGGCTCGCGAGGAGTGGAGACATTGGCTGGAGGGAGTACACCATGAAGTCGAAGTCATTACTGATCATCGTAATCTCGAATATCTTCGAGAGGCCAAACGTCTTAATCCAGCCTGATGGGCCCTCTTCTTCACCCGTTTCATCTTCCGTGTGACGTATCGTCCAGGAGACAAGAACTTGAAAGCTGACGCACTCTCCCGTCTTCATGTGCCCGAATCCAACATATCACTTCCTGAAGCCATACTCAGGAAGTATGCTTGGGTCGCTAGGGACGACATCCTGGACCCATCCCTCCTTACCCAGTTCCACGAGTCTCATCCCAGCCGCCCAGCTCCCAGAGGTCGAGGCCGACCCCGTCGACGAGCAACAGGTGTGTCAGGAGCCGCCCGTGGAGGAGGAGGTACTGTCACGGAGTCATCAGTACAACCTGCCACACCATCAGCACCCGATCACCTGACTCCGCCCATCCGCTCGTTATCACCAGATTACTGACTCACTACACCTGCACCCGCTCATCGCCATCAACGCATATAAACCCTCACATCCCTTCACTCAGTGTCTGGTCTCGTCAGAGTAACACTAGACTCTTCCGAACACCCGAACCTTATCGTCTGTCTTCAGCCTGTGATTGTCCGTTTCCGGATACCAGCCCGTTCCTCCAGTCATCTTCCGTCTTCTGGATTGCAAGTATCCTTAAAGAACCATCGCTACAACCTATCCAGTATTCTCATACTTCTACAAGCTTGTGTTCCACCGCTTCCATTCAGTCTGTGTTCAAATAAACATCTACTTACCATTTCATCCCGTTATCTCTCTCCTCTATCTGTGACAATATTGATATATTAACAAAAGTAATGTTAATAGTTATTTTATGTTTATTTCCATGTGTTTATTTTGAGTATGTTATGCATTTGTGTCTTCTATCCAATAAAATGAATACATTTACAATGGTTATTAGCAGTTGTGTACTTTGTTTTTGATTCATAATTGCATTAAAGATTAGTATTATATTGGATCTAATTATAACTATCCAGTTGTGAAATAAATCATAATATGACCCGTGGACCGACCGGTTTCCCGGCACTGGCCCGCTGGACTTCTGTTAGCTGGGATGTGCAGTTTGGCAATATTGTCAAAGTGAAGAATGTCTGCGAAATAGGCGTGACAGATGACAACATGAAACTGAACTCTTGACCTTAATGACTCATAACTTTATGACTGTCCCGAACTGGAGCAGCTCCAGCAGCCACACACACACACTCCAGCAGTCACACACACTCCAGGAGGATCCACAGTTCTCCCAGATCTGAGCAGCTGAGCTGAGGCTGTGTCTGGGTTCGGGTTAGGTGTGTGTGTGTGTGATGGAGGAGCACTGGAGCACGCGTGTGCGGGAGCGTGCGCTGTGGAGGGACTCGGCGGGCCGGCTGCCGGTGGAGCTGAGTGGAGGGTCGGACACGGGTCGCTTCACCTGGATCCGCCCGCTCGCCTCGCCCGCTCACGGGGACGTTCTGCTGGAGGTGGAGGCTCTGCCGGTGTCCGGGCGGCCGCTCTGTGATGTGCTGCACCTCCTGAACCACTGCGGGGACCCCATCCGGATCAAAACTGCCAAAGCAGGTGCGGTAGGGGGCCTAACCTCATATTCGTTCATGGGGCCCCATTTAGCTGGCGGCGCCCCTGCTTACTTATGTGTCCACAACATTATATTTTATTTTATGTAATTTTATTATATTTGTTATATTATATTATAGGCTATTATAGGCTATTATAAAGGTGAAAGTTCACATGCTAACCAGTGAAAATAGATACGTTTAGTTTCACTATCCCTTTAATATGTTGTCTTAAACATTTTTTAAAAGCGCACTGGAACCGTGGGATCTCTGACATCATCTCGCAGTGTTTATGTTTTCAGATTACTCTTCTGGATGCTTTACCCGCTGCTTATACAATCACACTATTGATGCTCCTCAAAAGCTCTTGTTTTAATGCGGGACAAACGCTTCATTTCTGACACACACACACACACACACAATGAGCTCCACCTTCATGCCTCGACTGAGCAAGAATGTGTGTATCTGTTGGAAAATAATTGACAAGGTTATGTAACGTTAAATATTGCTGCAGTACTCTCTCTCTCTCTCTCTCTCTCTCTCTCTCTCTCTCTCTCTCTCTCTCTCTCTCTCACACTTACACACGCACACGCACATGCGCACGCACACACACACACACACACACACACACACACTGCTGTGCTTGTTTGTAAGGCTGCACAAATTAGCCAACATTTTGAGATTATATCAATATGGCTAGAAAAATAAAAAGTAAAAAATAAAAATAAAAAGAAAAATATTATTGTAATTTCACTGTAAAATTAAAAACAAAATTGAGCATTTAGGAACAATATTTAGGTGGATCATGAGTATCATATCTCATATCTACACATGAGGATCAGCGCTTGACATTAACTTTTTTGCTCACTAGCCAATGTGGCTAGTGGTTTTCCAAAATGACTAGCCACGCAGCATTTTTACTAGCCACAGTTTTGTTGTTGTACGTTTTATATGATTAAAATTGACAATGGGGCTGAAAACGTGCTAAAATGAACTAATATTATCATTAGCTCTGATAAGGTTGTTAAGCTCCTTTTTTGATAACATGTTGTCTAAGATACACATAAAATAGCTTCTTATTGTATATAATAAAAGTGCTGCATTGTTTGTTTGTTTTTTGTTTTACAGCAGTAAATACTGCAATACAGAGTAGAACAATTATCTGCATTAGAAACAACGAGCAAAGAATAAATAATAATTTTAAAGAAAAAATCCACAATTAAGGCACCAGGATTACAACTTTATATAGGCTATATAGGACTATATAGGACTTTGGATTGTTTGTTTTGCATCAGCTTTTCCTCAGAGCTCTGACTTAATAATTATCATCATGAAGCTCTGAGTAACTGGAGATATGTCCACCTGAAACAAGTATAGGCCTACAGGTCTTTATTTTCCAGATTATTCCCACAAGCGCATCTCCTGCTTTCTTTCATGGCATGATTAATTTTATTAAAACATAGAATTAACTCTGGAAAGATAGTTGTGATATGACGTGACATAAGGGCAGCCCTGCTAGTAGTTAGGCCTACACCGTGGCCCTTAATCATGAAGATGATTTTTGCTTTAATACCGGCCATGCACACTCACGAACTGACTGAACGCTGTGTTGATGTGTGTGTGTATGCGACCAGTCGCGTGTGATGATCGTTCGTTTGGCGCGCGCACCCTCGCGCAGCGGCACTGCAGGAGAGCGTGAGACACGCCGGTGGTCTGGATTCTCCTGCTATTAAAAAAAGATCGCTATATCATCACATTAAGTTGATAATTAAGGGCAGACTAAAACAGCCCAGTTCGTCGCACAGTCCGCGAGTTTAATCTCCGCGTGTCTTCTTGTTTGCAGTGTTGTCGTTCAAGAGGATTCACGAATGGACCAATGAGCAAACACTAAACTATGTGCAGGTGGTACTCATGGGAGTGGTAGTGGCATAGTGTCAAATTGCAATTCGTTTGTTATGTCAGATGTCCTTTGACAAGACTACAAATCTTCAACACGCCAAAGTGGCTAGTGAGAGTGACTGTGTTACCCGCCACGGGTGAAATGCACCCGCATTTGGCGGGTTGGCGGGTGTTAATGTCAAGCCCTGATGAGGATCATGTGTAATGGGGGTTTTCCACTGCATGGGACGGCTCGCTTCGGCTCGCTTTAGTACCACCTCTGTCGAGGTTCCAAGCGTACCGTACCGACACTAAAATGTGACGTGAACACACTGCAGATCACTGATTGGTCAGACAGAATCGTCACTACCAGCGTCATTTTTTATTTTTTATTTGCGAGACATCAAACCCGCTCGATTTAAATAGCCAGTAACAGCCACCGCTGTAGCACCTGTTTTGAAACTACTTGCTTGACTTGCTTGAAGAAAAAAGAAAGAAAGAAAGCGTCCAAAAAAAGCAATGGCTGAATCGTGGTCAGTGGACGCAGTGCAGACGTTCCTCTCGTCGGCTGCCGAGGAGCGGATACACTATAACTGTCAGACTATAATCCAGGGGCGTAGCCAGAATTTTATTTTTGGGGGGTCCCGTCTTTAAATGAGGGGGCAACATATATATATATATAGCCAGATTTTTATATAAAGCCAGAATTTTATATATACAGGCCTATTCTGGTGGGTGCGGTGATGCAGTGGCGACTCATGTAACATGTAAGGGTGGCACTGCCACTAAAGCACCTAAAAGCCTAACCCTAACCCATAGGTCGGCAACCCGCGGCTCTTAAGCGCCGCCCTAGTGGCTCCCTGGAGCTTTTTCAAAAATTTGAAAATGGAAAAAAATATTTTTTGTTTTAATATAATTTCTGTAGGAGGAAAAACATGACAAACATTCTTAAAGTTTTTCAACATTGTAAAAATGTGTATAATAAATATTTAATTTCAACATTTCTGTCAACGAAGAATTTACGTCATAGACTGTGACACACGTGTCTGTCAGATCGGCGTGCTGCCAGACTGGTGGCTGACATACAAATAAACTAATGCTGGGTACACACCAAAAGATTTTTTACATCTTATAAGATTTTCAAAATGTGATAGACCACAAACATGAGGACAAAAAATCCTAGATTTAAGCGTTTTGCTCCTATAGTGTGTGGTGTGCCATGATGTGACAAAGCACACCACACACGAACAGATTTTCAACCAGAGTCTCGACTGTGAACAAAGGAAATCTCACAAAATCTCGCGAGACTTTAGAATAAGCTTGGCGGACGATATGCAAGAAGAAATTGCGATGATAGTGTTTGGAATGATTTTCACAGAAAAACATTCGTGCTGTTGCCACAAATCAACAAGCTGATCCTCCATCTCTGCTGTCCACATCAATTTAACTTTTTGCAACACCATGACTGCGTTTGTTATGCTTCCGTCTTCCATCATCTCGCTTTCTGATTGGATATTGTTTCGTTTCACGTGATAATCTCCAGAGCGTGTGCACGTTTGTCCTTGTTAACATGTTGAATATTTACGATTCGCGATCGGGGCGGCTCCGACATTCTTCCGAGCAGGTTCGGACACTCTTAACACATCTCACACCAAGGGAGAATCTGATAAGATAATCTGTAGAACCATCAAGATAATCGGGACATAGCTAGAATTGTCGGAAGGGGGAAAATCGGCCCAAAATCATCCCGATTATCTTTTGGTGTGTACCCAGCATAACCGGCGGGTGTGTCATGGGCCATGGATCCCAAGGGGAAAAAGAGAAAGATAGCTGAGCACTCCCAACGCAATAGAGTGCGAGCGCGGGAGATTTGATGGCCGAGTGCGAGCGCGGGCGCGTGCGGTAATGCACTCACTCTACTAAAACAAAATAGAAACGATTTACAGGCCAGAATTTCTATTCATAACGTGTTTGCAGAGTTGAGCGATATAGCCAATCACAGACATATGTGTTGATTTCTTGAACGCAATGGCCAATCAGAAGCATTTAAGATAGACTCCCCTCACCGCTCAAAACGGACGTTTTTGTTCAGTGCTGAATTCTGTATGCTGGCAAATCCTCGAATTATAACGAACAAAGTGTGGATATTATGAAAGATTGATTGTGCAGTCAGCTTCATTGATAATAACAGAGATGTGTGAGATCGCGATGAACTGTCAGCTTTAGGAATTATTAAGAGAGCGCACTTTGCGCGCATTCAGTCATGGCAAACCATGCACGCAGTAAACTGCTTGCTTTTATGTTAAATTAACAGTGGTTTGTGTTTTAATGCTTTAATAACAAATAATTTATCAGGAGGATGTATGGCGGCGACACGTAGGCCAACTTGAAAGTATTTGGAGGACAGAAAAAAGTCTATTTGCGGGCGGGAGCGGGACAAAACATAAATGTTGCAGGCGGGAGAAAGCAATATAGAAAGAAAGTTGAGAACGTCAGTTATAATAATGACCCACGCATTAAAAAATGGTCGGGTTAAAATGCGGCTCGGGCTCATAATTACGTTTAATGTGTCGGGCCGGGCTTGATTTTTTGGGCCCGATCTAAGCTCTAATTTGTAGCCTACTTATCATTTTGATACTAGGGGGCTAATAACGCTAATACAGCATGTGTTGCCTTCATTATAAGGCTTATGTAAAGCTTTTAATTTTTTGCGGCTCCAGACAGATTTTTATTTATTTATTTTTTTGGTCCAATATGGCTCTTTCAACATTTTGGGTTGCCGACCCCTGCGCTAACCCTAAATGACCAGTGCAGCGTTTCACTCTGAAACATGCAGCATACTCTTCCTCCTCTTCCTCCTCTTACTCATACTCTTCCTCCTCTTACTCATACTCTTCCTCCTCTTACTCAAACTCTCCCTCCTCTTACTCATACTCTCCCTCCTATAACTCATGCTCTTCCTCCTCTTACTCATACTCTTCCTCCTATAACTCATGCTCTTCCTCCTCTTACTCATACTCTTCCTCCTCTTACTCATACTCTTCCTCCTCTTACTCATACTCTTCCTCCTCTTACTCAAACTCTCCCTCCTCTTACTCATACTCTTCCTCCTCTTACTCATACTCTTCC